GCAAATGATCTATAAATAAAAGTTTAAATGCACTGGGTTGAACTCTCTATGTATAGGAATATTTTTGTACTGAGAATCATTTCTCAAAGTGAACAATCAAAACCCAAATCCTCTGCTTCATAAAATTTAATAGTTACATAATGAGTTTTCTTATAAGAACATACACATTTATAATTAAAAAGAAATTGAAATTACTTTGATGGGCTATACCTCTATCATTTGTATGAAACCTGGTACAAGGTTGGTGCTTAATAAATATTAATAACATCCTCCAATCTATATCTCTATTCAATGTATATTTGCACTCTGTTTACCTTCTTTTCTAGACCAGATGCCCCTGCATGTGCCTCATGCATGGTTACAACTGAAGAGATATTGTCGATGAAAAGTGGCTACTACCTTCCTCATATTGCTCACTGCACATCTTCATCTTATTAAGCATTCTGTTAAATTAAGCTCTTTGACAAATACACCTCTGTAGTTCTCCTTTTCTTCTTTTTTAAAAAATCACCTATTAGACGTAATGAGGATTTGAAAGGTCAACACCAGGAAGGGAGTGTTTACAGTCTTTGTGCAAGGCAGGAAAACAGGAAACCAACACTAATGATTCTGCCTACACAGACTGCTGTCCACCGCTCACTGCTTAAGCAGGAAGCCCACTCCACCCCAGGCTTGCTTTTCCTCAAATGCTACCCAGTCCTGCTGTCCTGCCACCCTTTATATGAGCTGCATTGAGAAAGATCTGAAGGCATCTGATGTATGTTCAATTTATTTCGAGGGCAGCTGAAAGAATGAGCCACATATTGGGGAAAAGTAGCTAAAACTGATCATTAAGAATATGAGAAACAATATATAGAGAAAAATACACACGATGGAAAATGACCCAGAGAAAAAATTTGCCAAACTATTTTTTTCTTATAGTACATTCACTTTCTCCAGATTTCAAAGTGTGACTCTTCAAGATGATTCCAGCCATCTGTGTCGTATAAATAGATTAGCAGAAGATATGGGTATGGGCTGTGATCTTCTGGAAGTGGAAAAGCCCTTCGTTTTCAAATCTAGCTGGGATTGGCCTCAGTGTAGGGGCATCTGGACAGCAGTCACAAGTTTCTGGTCACCATGATGCTGAACATTTCAGAGGAAAACCCTTGTAGAAGCAAGGCGGGAGAGGAAACCCATGTCACTAGGACCAGCCACCTGTCTCTAAGCTGTTTCCAGCGAATAGCTGTTGATCCTGGTGTTGGAGAAATTCCAGGAAAATAAAAGAAAGAAAATTGTTTTATTTTGGTGGAAAATAAAACATATATTCAAGAAAAATCAAGAAGTAAGTTACACAGGAAAAAATAATAAAAAATGATAGAAGACAGAGTATTTTTATCACGATCTAGTCTACAGTCATAAAAATGTTTTCCCTGTGACAGTGGTTTACAAAGTGTGACCCCTGAATCAGCAGCACCAGCATTACCAGGGACTGTGTGAGGCAGGCAAACGCCAGAACCCATCCAGACTTACTGAATCAGAAGCTCTGGAGCTAGAGCCCAGCAACCTGTGTTTTAAAAAGCCTGTCAGGTGATTCTGATGTCTGGCAAAGTCTGAGTACCATTGCTTTAAGCGCTTGGTAAATGACCACTGAAATACAGAATTGTCATTTGAGACACATTCCTGCCTGCCAAGATTTTATATCTATGAACTGAACTCACAGTAGATGCAATAACAGGAATGGCAAGGTTAGGGGTCTCAAATGCCAACAGAAGGTAGGCAGGTGTGCATAGCCTTGCAGGTTACCTGCAGAGGTTGCAAACACTGTGATGAACCTGGAAGGACACAGGCTTGGTCTGTGGGTCCTAGACATTATTTGGGTCTGGCTTTCTTGTTGCCATGAAGAAATGCAAGCCTAGTATTGCTAGATTCTCCGACTTTTTAAAGAAACTGGGAATAAGGATCTTTATGTACAACAAAAATATTTTTAAATCTTGACAACTAATTTAATTTTTTAAAAAGAAATACTATTTAAGATAAAGAAAACTGATTTGTTCAGATTTAGCCTCTGTGTTGGAAAGTGGAGATAAGGGGAAAAGAATATTGGAAAGAGGATAAAACTTCCTAAGCTTGGTTCCTCCGTTATATTGTTTGTTTCCAAAATTACATTAAGTAGATATATTAATAGCAATTGCATTACAACTGTGATTTTAAATACTCTTAGTCTACCATTTCCTAAGAAAGCTCTCTACATCTGCAACAATGTCTAAAACTCCCATCATTTAGCATCAATTTCTGTTAGTTTAACTGTTCATGCCTCAAATATTTTTCTTCTCCTAAAATTATCCTAGAGTGGTGGTCACATGAACATGGCCATTAGAGTCCTTTGATCTGGTTTCAAATCCAGTTGGCTTTGTCATATACTAACTGCATATTGACAATTTGGAATATGCTATTAAGTCTCTCTAAACTCCAGTTTCCTTAGCTGTAGCTTAAGGATAAACAATTATACCTTATTTGTCATGATTAGTGAAAATGTTTGAACTGCTGTTCAGATACAATAAATGATATTAATATTTAACATTACTCTTGTTTTAGTTGTAAGCACCCTTCCTGTGATGAGTTCATTAGACTGCTTTCTTTTGGGGATTTGAGAAAAAGAAAGTTTAATGGTGAAAGAAAGGGAGTTAACTTGAAAACAGAACATCTGAAGTGAAATGCTCATATTTCCAGATGCCCTAGAAATTGAGCCTGATGGGCAATAACTGCAGAGGGGTGTCTTGGTCTGTGTGTCATACTTCTGAGTTGGCCTTGACCCCAGGCCCTTCAGGTGTGAAAGGCTGATAAAGACTTGTTTTAGGTTCTCTGCCTACAGGCCATGACTAAAATATTCTTGCTGAGGACTTATTTATTAATCCACAAGACTGTTTGAAATCAAGTAACCAAAATACCTCATACATGTATTTACAAATAGCCTCAGAAATATTTTAAAAATGTATTTGTGCCTGTAGTCATGCCTTATCTCTCCTCCACCACTCTGCACTCTTTTGTTAGTAATTGATAATAACAAAATTTAATATGGTATATTTTCAATTACGTTTCACATTTTTCTTACTATGGTAAGAATAATCAACTCTAGTTGGCATGGGGAAAACGATAAATTCACAAGTAAACTCCAGTCCTGGGCAGTATCTTCAGAAATCTAAATTAAGGATTAATTTAAGCAAATAAATACTCAGAAGTGTCATGCCAGGTTTCTGTTGATTTTCTTATATAACTTTGGTGCCTTGATAACCTTATTTTGAGTGCAACTAGTCCAGTAAAATGTGGCTTCGTTTTGTCAGGAATGGGAAATGACACAGGAGCTACCTTAGAGGGGTGGATTGACAAGCTTGTAAAGAAAGAAAGGAAACATCTAAGAGAAGGAAAGACTTACTGAGAGAGAGACAGAGAGAAACGGAACTGCTCTTTTTTTTTCTTCTCATATGTCTCTCCTAACCTTCTTCGTAGGATCTGATACATAAATACATACATGTTCTTGATCAATATCAAGTTTTCCCCACAAGCTGTTTAACTCTGCCCTCCTCATGAATATTTATAGAGAATACGGTTAAAATTTTCAGCTAACATGGATGTGATTCTACATATTTGTCGAAGAAGAGAAACTGAAAAAAAAAAAAGACAACAAAAGAAAACCTCAATGCAGAACCTCCAAGATTCCGCAGTAGGTGGATGTTTATTTAATCTTCTGCTGAACAGAAGCAGGTTTCCACCTGAAGGGTGAAACCCGTCTATGACCTCAAACAATGAGGGGCACAGAATGTCTCAAATCAGTTGAATAAACATTAGTTGAATACTTACTATGTGCCTAGCATAGAGCTACAGTGCTGAGGATAAATGTATAACTCTAGCTCTGTATCCAAAGAATTGGCAATCTAATAAAGAAAGAGCTATTATGGAAAAACATATATATAATTATTATTATATTTTTATTTAATACAAAGCCTGAGTTGCATAGAGGATGATGGCTCAGCCCAATTTGGTGTATCTGGAAGAGTTTTCTGGGGCAGATAATATCTAAGATGCTTCTTAAGTAACTTAGTCTGGGTGGGTGGGTGTGAGCCCAAGTTGGAAAGCGTGTTGTATATGTCAGACACATCCCCTGCATTTCACCTCTGCTTTCAGTAGCCTAGTGCATTCCACAAATATCTGTAGTCTGGACTACCAAAACATCCCCCTAGACATCTGTCTCCCCATAGTCACTTGTCCCATTGAATCCATTCTTCATGTGGCAGTATGGGTAACTCTTCAAAGCATACATGTTTTTATGTTTTCCTCCTTCTTGAAACTCTTCCAAGGCATTTCGACTGCAATGAGGAAAGCGTCATTACTCTTCTACATGGAATATAAAGCCTTGCACGATGTAGCCCCTACCCCTCCTGCTAGCACTCTTTAGTACTGCTTTTCTCACTCTGCCCATTTACAGGGGTCTCACTGCAGGTTCTGGAATACCTTGCTCATTTCTGCATTAGAGCCTTAGAACAGTTGCTCGCTCTCTCATTCTCGACATGGTTGTCTGCTTCCCACCCATCCAGCTTTTGCTTAAATGTCTTTCTCAAGAGGTCTCCTCCAGCTCCATCTCAAAATCAGACTTTCCGTTTCCTTCACCTCCACCATCATTACTATAATTTTAAAGTCTAAGCCCCACATTCAGTTTCTTTCCAAAGACCTAATGCAATTTAGAAAGTTTTCAATTATTTTTACATTAAATTGTAAACCATAAGCTGATGTTTTTAAGTCAACCTCCCCCACCGGGATGTCAGGCTGTGGCCACATCTATTTTGTCTCCATTGTTTCCCAGCACCTAGCAAAGAACCTAGCATTTAGTAGATGCTCAATAAATGATTATTGAGTGAGTGAAAGAAGGAGGCAGCAGGCATATGATAGAATGTATGTTATTTATTTCTATGTAACAAAAATTACTTCAAAATGTAATGGCTTAAAACAATAAACATGAATTATCTCGAAGTTGCTGTGTGTGGGTCAGGAACCTGGGCAGAGCTGGGTCTGCTGGCTCAGGGTCTCCTACAAATCTATGACCACCATTTCTGCACTGGCTTCAGTCATCTCAAGGTTCTGCTGCTGGGGCGAGATCCACTTCCAAGCTCATTCATGTGGCTGTTGGCAGGATTCAGGTCCTCGTAGGATGTTGGCCACATGACCTTAGTAGAAAGAAAGAGAGATGGAGAGAGTGATCCAGACAGAGGTCATAGTCTCTTATAACTTAATCTCAGAGTGAAATCCCATCAGCTTTGCTGCATTCTATTTGCCAGGAGTAAGTCGCTAGATCAGCCCACACAGCAGGGGAGGGCATTACACATGGATGAAGACCAGGCCCATCTGAGACTCTGCTGACCACGGAATGAAAGGAAGCGATGTGTGGAAGGGCTTATTTATGATCAATGTAGCGTTGGACTGGTGACGGATAAAGGAGATGTGAGCTCTGTGAGGGGGAAGACCACTTTCCTTTCATCGTCTCTTTTGTTCCTAGTAACCAAGAGTGCCCCTGCACCTGCGAAGTCCTCAATATTGATTTATCAAATGAATGAAGAACAAAGTATTGTATGGAGATAGACTACTATCAGAGAAAAACTGGCCCTGACAGCCTACTTTTGCTTTACTTTCTCTTTTTCCCATAGCACGCAATGTCTCATGACATACTGCGGGTGTTTATTCATTATGCTTATACTTTATGGTTTGTCTTCTCCTGCTACAGGTACCCCCAAGCCAAGGATTGGTTTTTTCCTTTGTTCTTTCTTCATTCTTTTCCCAGTGATATATCCTAATTTCCTTGAACAATCATATTGAGAGTTTAATGCATAGATTCTTTTTTATTAAAATGTTCTTGTTTCTTTACATGTGACTCCTGGACCAGAATCATCAGCATCACCTATGATATTGAGGCCCCTGGAGCTCCTGAATATGCCACTGCAGCTTAACAACATTCCCAGGTGATTTCTACTCACAGCCACGTTTGGAAAACACGGTTTGAAATGATTCGAACAGAGAATCAAATAAAGGAGAATTGACTCCTTTTAACTGCTACACTGTTTTGCCTCTAGCAATAGTTGTAGTGCAGAGGTTAGCAAGGATTTGTTTGAAAAAAATGTATAATCTATAAATCAGAACGGAGTTATTAATTTTATAATCTTAATCTTTCACATTTTCATTCCAATTTGGTTTCTTGTGGGGGGAAGGGATAGAGTCATGACCAGCATACTGGAAATTCTAGAGCATGAATACAGACATTATCTTTGAGGTGAACCACCATGGAAAACATACTGAGAATGCTGCTCTAGAGCATGTATAAATCTGATCCAAAGTTCCCCCAAATTAAGTTGTATTAACACCAATTGGCTTATCAATATGCATCATTTCGTCCAACATGTCGATAAATTGACCTGAATTGGGAAAAGTTGCAGGATTCTGGGGTCCTGCCAATATTTCTTTCTTGCTGACTTCCTAAAGTAATGAAAACTAGCAGCAATAATGACAACCACAATAAAATTCTGGCCATACTAAAAAAAAAATCAGTGCCAGTTAATTACTTCTGAATCCTGGGACACAGCAGCTAACTCTTCTCTGAGGTCCAAATCAGAGTTGACTTCCAGGCTCACTGACAGTATTACTATGGAGTCTCACGAAATGCTAAAAACCTGTGATGCCAATAATACCTACCTGGCAAAAGCTGACAGGAGGAATGCCTTATGTGTAGATTTTCATGCTTCATGTAGATTTCATGGTGGTGACCTCAGCCACCTTTGTCACAGCTGATGGAGGCAGAGTCAGCTTGGGGTTTAAGAGAGTCCATTGCCTGTAAATTGGCTGGTGACCTAGAATGAGTAATAAGAAGGGCCCATACTTGATAGATAAAATGTAACTGTGGTTTCAGTCACAGTGGTGGCCCCTACTGTGTAAACCATTCCTTTTAGTGCTCATGCTCTTGTGAGATCCTCTCCTTTCAAATATGGGCTGGGCCCATGACTTGCTTTCATCAACAGAATGCAGCAGAAGTGACTGACACTCTGGCATTTGGGGCCTGCAGCTTCCCGGAGGGGGGAGCCCAGGATTTGGATAATTTGTTACCATCTGCAGGACATAGCAACTGCAATGAATGTTTTGCTGAACGAATACAGATACCAAACTTCCCAACCTGCAGGGAGAGGTGTGCAGTAAAGAGCAGAAGTCCAATTTAATAAGGGTGTGACAGGCCACGTGTAAGAGTGTCAAAACCTGGCCTCGTTGGCCTCAGAAATCCTGACAGCAGTCAAAGGACTGAGAACAAATTTTCAAGCAGTAAGTAGATCGCGTTTAAGCTTCCTCTCATCCCGAACCAAGCTAGAAACTGAAAAAAAACGGATAGGAAACTGAATTCCCGAGAAACGGGAAAAGAGTTCATTTAAACCAAAGATTTGAAGCAGAAGTTACCCAGCACGCCAAGATTCTTCCTCCAGAATATGATGAATGAAGCCATCAAAGCAACCAGGGTTTTCTTTCAAAACTATTCATGAGTCTGGGCCCCACTGAGCATTATTGCTAATATTATTCATGCATCTTTCATCTCTCACAATGAGCTACAGTTTCTGAGTGAAATTATCAATACATGTTAGTTCCTCATGGGGAAAAATATTAATAACTTAGAAATTCAGCCTGAGGCAGAAGGCACTGTTCTCATACAGGGCTCCTGAATGCTCTCTCCCAAGCCCCCACCAAATATGCACATTTCTTTCATTTTGTCTCCAACGCAGATGAGTATATTAAAGAGTAAAAGGATGACTTCCCACCCCACTTCCACCTGATGCATGGCACAAAGACAGAACCTTGGTCAGTGTACATCAGCAAGTTACTGTTTACATCAGCAAGTCCTTAAAAAGAGGAAAAAAAGCTATTTCCTAGCATAGACAAATATGCTTTGAGCAGACTGTTGAAATAGGGGTGGGGGGAGGTTGAGTTCATGCTCTCTATGGAGGATGTTTCTTTTAATTGGACAGTTTAATTTGCCAGCCACTTAGGAAGACATGTCAGCGCCTGACAAAAATCAAACAGCCTTTGCCCAAACCATTTGGAGTTGGCTTCACCTCTGAAGCAGCTACCTTGACCTATTATAGCTCTCAGTGTGCTCAAGGGAATCAACCTTTACCTTTTGCACTTTCCAACAAATTCTTTGAGCAACGAGTCAGTTGTCCATACAAAGGAAATCCATCCGTCAATAATACCATGGAAGACTTAAAAAGCTTCATCATTATTAATGTGCAGATTTAATATCTAAGGCAATTATTTCCATCCACCTTGGATTCTTATATTTAGCCAGCACCAGTCTGGGGAGACAACAGACATCCTTTGGAGCCCAGCTTATCTGATAGAACAACATAACCTTTAGGTCTGATAACCATGCCAAATATTGAATACTTAAAAGCAAATGTTATTCTAATTAACTGCATTCACAAATGACAGCAGCTTTTGCTTCCAAAGCTGGGTTGAAAACTTCCCCTCAAGACTCACATCAGAAATAGAGCAAAAAAATAATATATGAGCATAAAGCCAAGTTTGCACTAGATAATAGGAAGCTATAAATGACCTTCAAAGGTTAGCGGGTATTGTAGTCTAGTATATTTTGCAGTGCACGGTAAGATCATGGTCAATATTATACCTGCAGAGCCAACAACCAGCCCGAAGCTGGCTGGGTAGTTTCACTGGATAGGATTATGAGAAGGTGGAAACAGAAAAATGGCTGATTTAACTCATCCACTATAAATAAACTTCTGTTCTTCCTGAAATGACTTTCAGGAACTTGATGCTATGACAATTTCTTCATAGATATTCTACTACTTTCTCTTTATTATTATGCTTATCACACAAGTAAAATGTGTTTTATTGTAGACAAATTAGAAAATATTGATGAACAAAAAAAAAACATAATTAAATTACACACACACATTGTAGTGCTCTAAAACAACCAAATATATATCTTTATATATATTATATATTCCCTGGTTTTTTTCTTATGAACATGACACATAATATGTTTTTATATGAAACACTCTTTTGTAACAACCTTTTAAAAATTAATATATTGTGTTTCCATGTAAATGAATATATGTCTATATCATCATTAATTTGAATAATGATCCATTAGGAAGATGAGCCATAATTTCTTTAATTACCCTCCTATTATCAGACCTTTTGGTTATTTCTAATGGGCATGTGGAGAAATGTTCCTAATGCCTTCCACAGACTTCCCAGAGTTCAAAAGATTCCTGGACATTTCAATGTCAGCGTTTCAGGAAGCTGTCAATTTATATCATCCATGCTCTCATGGAGCAAACTTTGGCATTCTCTTTCAGTGTTGCCTCCAGCACCTGCAGTATGTGAATGTGAATGCTCACATCTTCCCACTAATAGGTGCACTGGCAGTCAGGGAGAAAAGAAAGCACAATCCCCCAAAATATGGCAGGGTGGCCCAAAGTGTCCACATAAATCTTAAAATTCCTATAAAGTATTGTCTTATTTTAAACACAAAAGTGAAATTTTTAACTCTATTCTCTCATATATCAATGTCAACTTTAATATTGTCTTTACCCATTCTCTACACATTCAATTAGAGCCCTGTGTTTATACCAGTGCATCAGGAACTACCTGGCACACTGCTGTGATTCGTGGGGCTGCATGAGAACAAACGTTCGTTTTGGTCATGTTGGACTTGTGAAAACAACCTCAAGCCACAATCGAGTAACTATGAGTGAGAAAAGTAACCAAAATGAGAGACTTAATTTTGGTTCGATATCATAAATACTTCCTATATTTTTGCTCCAGCCATGCATTTTTATATATCTTATCTCATAGGTCTACATACTGGCTTGGTGAAGCATCCAGGCAGGGAGAATTATTTTCATCAACTCTGCTTTATCTGGAATGTTGGAGTGCCACTTATTTTCTGAAGCTCTAAATTGAAAAAGACCTTTCTAAACTTCTAGCTCCACTTCTTATTCTATATCATTTGCTATTATACACCTATGAAATCTCCTTCTCACTTGAATCCTTTAACATTTGGCTATAACACACTTTACCTGTCCATATCGCTACCTACCAACACCCTCTAGAGCATTATCACACGTTCAATGCACACATGGGAATCTTGCTCTTCATGTCAAATCATCACACCCCTATTATTATTCTTAATCTCCTTTACCACCATAATTGTCACTTATAGTCTCTCTGAGCAAGTCTTTCCTAGGGGCTGGTTACCACCTGCAATGGTTCTACATGTGAATTCTTAAATGTCATAGTCTGACCACAACTTCCCATCCTTCTTCCTCAATTATTACTCCATGTCCACCAAGCATAATTTTTATCTCTTGAATTCCACAGTTTTCTCTTAGTCTCTCAACTCTCAGTCCCTTCTCACTTCATACCCTTCCTTCTCTACCTGAGGTTGATGATCTGTCATCACCTCAACTGTGCTCTGAACAGTATCCTCAACTCCTTTGCTTTTTGGTGTGCTACAAATTCACTGTTTAATTTCCCATGGGAATCTAAAACTCGATATTTGCAAACAAATTCCTTTCAGACCTATATTTTCCTCCTTACTCTGTTCCTCTTCCTCAGCAAATTGCCTAACTACCTCCCCAGCAATTCAAGCCATAAATCTGGACATCATTCTTGACATTCAAGCAGTCCTCATATCTTGCATAGTATATCTTCAAACTCTTTCTTGAATCTAATTCTCTCTCTCTTTACACTGCTAAAGCTATTGTCTTGGTACAGGTCTTTATTATCTCTACAAATGACAAAGATTACTAACTTGCTTTCCTGGCTCTAGCCTTACTTCCTCAATCCATCCTCAATGCTATTCTGATGATTAAAATACTGGTGCCTGTCACTTTTTCACTCTCCCTTCCAAAAGAGCAAACCATGCAGAATTCTACAAATACCATCCTATTCTTTCTTTTGGAGTCTTTTTTTAAAAAGTGAATTGGAGGTGACTTACAGAAAAATATACAAATAAGATTAAACCAGAGGTAAATATGTATGCCATTAAAGCATGCACAGTGGTTTGGGGACCCAAATTTGCATTAATACTTCCTATAAGCAAAAGCAAGAAAGAGAATTGAATCAGTTGTAAGTCTCATTATTTCTAAAAGATAAAAACAAATTAGTTACTGATTCTGAGACCTGAGAAAAGTGTGTTTCATGGGTAGCCCAGGTGTTCCGGCCTCCATGCTAAACATTCTACTTACCCTCCAACACTCGGGTCTCATCTTTCCTTGCTGTAGAGTCTTCCCTGATCCCACTCCCACTCCCTCTCCATCAGAGTTAATAATTCATTCTTTCTCACCCACTCAGCACCTGGGACCTGTCCCTCTGTTCTCACTAATTGTGTGCACTGAGAGTGCCTGCCTCCGCCCTATACTGCTGTCTTATTAAGGGAACAGACTCTGCCAAGTTCATCTTTGTATCCCCATCAGTAATGGGACCAGTGAAAACATGTCTCAATGTTTTACAGTTGTAATTGAAAGGCAAAAGATTTGCACAGTGTAGTACTTCTTTGCAATCCAAATAGGACTGAAGCCAAAACTGACTAACGCTTGAGCTAATTCTAATAATTTACAACATACCTTGGTATTTCCCAGCCAACCTGTGAGGTTCAACTGAACTGGGCTTTCTTCAATACCAAACATTCGCATCAAAAAGATGCTTACCTGGTGGTTTTGTGGTCAAAGGGTAGAAGACAGAAATGGGGCTGGCCAAACTCCCTTCTAACAACCTACCCCCGGCCCACTGCAAATGATCTCTGGTCTCCACATGCCCCCTAGTAGGCTGGATGTGGCTTGAG